GTACAGGAATGTGAGTTAAGCATTTACCTCAAGTAGACAAACGCCCTGGAGAGAACAATCATGGGAGAAGTAAGGGCTGCTTATGCACAGGGAGACAGCTCAGGTGGCAGGAGAGTATGGAGGGATGGACACTGGGAAGAGCTAACTAAGGGGAGGAAGTGGGAGGGGAGATGTTGCATTGTGGTAAACTGTGGTCAATGACATGAGACGAGGTATATGTGAACTACTGTATGGGAAGTGAATTTGCTCTGTAAATCTTCACCCAAAAAAAAAAAAAGTAGCTCTGAAATTTTACTTTGCTTAGTTTCTAAGGTGGGGAACTTTGAAAGAAAAAAAAGGAACGAGAAAAAAATTTACTTTTTAGGGCTGATGTCCACTATACCAATTTAGCTATTTACAACGAGAAGATTAATTAAATGATGGCAAGCTCTGGTAGCGTAGTGCCTAAGGCATCTGATTGCTAACCAGAAGGCTGGAGGTTCAAACCCACCAGCCACTCCTCAGAAGGAAGACTGGGCAATCTGCTTCCATAAAGATTTACTGCCTCAGAAACCCAAGGAGGGGTTGCTGAGTCAGAATCGACGCGACAGCAATGAGGTTTTTTTTTTTTTTTTTTTTCGTGCTATGTAGCTACAGATAGAATCTGAGTCAGTTTTTCTGCTCCTAAGACACTAAAGCAGATGGGAAAAGCGCCTATTACCAAGATCAGGGATTCATAAACTTCAGTGAACCAAACATGGCCTACCGTCAACTTTTGCAAATAAAGTTTATTAGAACATAATCATGCTCATCCATTTGCACATTGCCTATGGGTGCTTTCACCCTGCATCAGGAAAACTGAGTAGTAGTTGTGACAGCAACTTCATGGCCTGCAAAGCTGAAAATACTTATTATCTGGCTCTTTACATAAAAAGCTTTCTGACTCCTGTTCACAATGCTCACAGAAGGCCATCTACCACACAACACTGCTCAAAAGATTATGGTAGAGTATTCTTTCCAAGTAAAAGACATCATTTCTAGTTATTTGCTTATAATACTAATTACTCAGAACCCAGAATATGGTAAATTAATTGCATGTATTTGTTTCCTACCTTCTGATTTGTATACATAAAATATTGCACTTTTTTTTTTTTTTTTTTTTTCAGAGAAATCTACATCCTCTCAAAACTAAAGATTTATCAGGCAATATTATCCAGGAATATGCTATAACAAATCCAAAAGAAATACCATTAATGAGCTATTCTCCTTAGCCATGAATTTTAGTTGTGTTAACATCTTCATACATGAAAACAATAAACTTAAAATCTGAACAGTCATAATGAATTCAAAAGCAATTTTTAAATTTTAGGAACCATCTTACTACTTCATTTAAGATACAAGCATTGGTTGTAATTACTGAAATTCAGCTCTTGAACTAAGAAAATAATTTTCAAATTTAAGTATACAAAATTTAAGCATAAAATATATGCTACAAAACACTACTATGACTTCTATTGACTATGACTGTATACTTACATGAATACATATCTCATAGTCAATATAAGAATGCCAAAAGTCCTCCTTCTGAATCCTAGGGTCTCGAACCCAGACACTTACAAACTCCTGTAAGGGCATCATAAACAAAAGAAAATGTTTCAGAATTTCAAGTAGGGCTAGAAAGAGCTCAGAAAAATGACCATACTACAATGAAACTGAACCTTTAACCAATGTGGTTATAATTCTTTAAAAAACAAGAAGTTAATGAATCAGACACCACAGGCAAGCCCAAAAAAGACTTTTTGTCACAAATGGAATTTATAAAATAAGGCAAAACTGGGCTGAGGGCACGTTTTGATAATTTTACATAAAATTACTTGCAAACAAATAAGAATGTATACTCACAAACTATTTTTAATCCAGCAAAACAGGTTCACATTTTTCTCAAGTTTTAAAAGCAATCATTTCTTACTTTCTTCATCTCTCTAAGTTAAAACTTTGGGCCCGGGCCCTGCCTGGTCTATCACCTTCTAGAACTCAGAAAAGGGTAGCAAAGGCAATGTGAAAAGTAAACAATGTGAGTTGAAACTGACTGTGTGTACAACCCAGCCTCACGAACATAAGTAGTAATAACTTCTTAATAGCAATAGGAACACCTACTACATCCCAATATATTAAGTCATTTCATCTTCATAATAACTTTGTAGAAGAGATGTTAAAAAAAAAAAACTATAGGTAATTCTGTTCTTTTTTTAAAGAGAATAATAATGGTAATATGGAGTAAAATTTAAAACAGTACTTTTAAAAAAAGGGAGCTCTGGTAGCATAGTGGCTAAGTAACTTGCCTGCTAACCAGACGGCTGGCGGTTCACACCCACCAGCCACTCCTCGGAAGGAAGGTTGGGCAATCCTACTTCCGTAGTGATACTGCCTCGGAAACCCAA